CCTATCCTATCCTATCCTATCCTATCCTATCCTATTCTATTCTATTCTATTCTATTCTATTCTATTCTATTCTATTCTATTCTATTCTATTCTTCTATTGTCTGTGTTTCTGGACAGTGACTAATAAAGATAGTATTGTTGTTCCTGCTTTTCTAGCGGTTGGGGGACATTTCAAGGGTCAAAACAAATGCCTTAAACCTTGAAGATGCCACCCATTTTGCTCCAAAAACTCTTGAGTCCTTCTCTCAGTACATACCGTGATCCCCCTATTTTTGGAATTTGGCCATCGCCAAGCCACACAAAGCCACATAAGTTATGGATCTCTGTTAAGGAGGCATGGGGCAAGCAGCCTAATCCTGACCATTCGGTCTCTGGGCATGGCCAGTTGTTCCCTCAGTCGTGGATCTTCAGTCAGGTCTTTCTTTTGCCATTAATGATACACAAGTTCCCTCCTAGGTGGAAGATGGAATTAATGGCCAACAGGTTATTTTAAGATACGTAACAGTGAGGAACATAGGAGAATGTGCAGCCCTCTGCGCATACAGAAACTTGAGAAAGCAATACCATGCCTGTGAATTGTATTAAAAATATCAGTACAGAGAGCTCCTGTTTATGTGTGCCCTTTTGGCTTCTCCTTTGTGTATAAAAACATCCCTCTCCTCTTCCAGCTGCATATTGTTATCAGCAAAACAACAGCTAAAGTAGTGATTGATTGCAAGGAAGTGGGTGAGAAGATGATCAATGCAGCAGGAAATGTCACTTCTGATGGGATTGAAGTACTGGGAAGGATGGTTCGATCAAGAGGACCAAGGGACAGTTCTGCACCAGTAAGTGAAGGAGCTAAGGATTTGAAATAAAAGGGGATGATAATTCAGGAAGATTTATTCATGAGGGATTGATGTAACCCCTGCATAACTACACAGGAAGGCATGAATTCAGCTGTAGCTCCATCGAGTTCCTTCACATTAAATCTAATGCATGTTCCCCCACTTTGTCAGGGCATCTTTGTGTCGTGGTTAAATGCAAGCGGGGAAAGGTCCCTGGGGTCACTCACTGACAAGTACTTCACATGCTGAACTCTTGAGACTTGGCCTGAACTAAATTATCTTCTTTTCAAGATGACAGTTCCAAAAAAATTAAGAGAAACTCTTCCAGAACAACATCATTATATCCTGGGGAGACCTGATTATCTGATAAAGGAATAAGAAAATTTAATAGGAGAGAAGTGGATTAATTTCAAAGCTGGACAATCTGGTCATGTCCTTTGAATTCTCTTGTCCAGAAGAGCCGCTTCAACCTAATTGCCTTCAGCTTATTTAGCCTGCAAAGAACGTATTTGCCCCCTTCTCTACAAAATTATGTGCTTTGCACAAAGAAGGAGTGTTTTCAGACTCCTGGCTTAAGCTTGGCAATTAATATATCAACTCCTACAAGACAATTGAACCAAGCAACCTCCATGGCCATGTTCCAGGAGGGAAAGACAAAGGCCAGCTTGTAAAAAGTTGCAGTTGAAGGGTGCTTTGTAGGAAAAAAAAGGAAAGAAACGATGGCTTTTATTAAGAAAATCATGGTTGTATGAATGGTAAGTGGTCAAGTGAACTATACACCCACAGGAAGCAAAAACCTATAGTTGAATTGGTTGATGGTTATGTAAGTCCACAAACATCCATTTCAAAACATACTTCTCAATAAAGAGCATTCTTTTCACAAATTCTACTTTATCAAAGTCTGTGCTCTTCGTCAGGTACAGTGTATTTTTCAGAAAATTATGTTGTGATGCTGTCCTATGATCCATGAGGCTAAACCATCAGGGATGTTTCAGTTTGCTCTGAAAAATGGAGTTTGTTTGGTTTTTTTAGCAAAAAAATAAAAATACACTTTCTTCTAAACCATATCTGGCACCCTGATGGTAAATTTGGAAGTTCTTTTTATGTGGCAAAGCCCAACAGAAATGATTGTCAGGCATAATATTGCCAGCACGCACACCTTGTATCTTGATGTACTCCATATAATGCAGTGTTTTTCAGACTTGCAACTTTAAGATGTGTGGGCTTCAAATCCCAGAATTCTCCAGCCAGCATGATATAATGCAATATAGTAAAAGAGTTAATAATTATAACAATGTCACTGGCCATATACACTCCAGCTGGAATAGCCAATCTTTGTAGATTTCAAGAAATATACTACCTGTGATATCCAGGATTCCCTGACCATGCCCTCTGTTGAATTTAAAGGAACATCCCACTTGTAGAAGAGTTATGTCTGTGGGTATCTGCAGATACGGCAATATGAATTATGCTAATGTATATTCTTAATTTAAATGTCATTCCTTCAGGCATCTTAAAGAAACCATTTGTTTGTTCTGTTGGAAATGTTGCGTGTGAGTTGAATTGGCATTTGGAGGTTTATGTGGAATTGTTTATTTCAGAATCGAGACTTCATGGAACTAAATGTAAACTCTGTGGATAAATGGATCAGAAAAAAGGATATCTTTGTTTAGTAGCTCACTTGGAATCAAGAGCAAGAACCCCTATCGCGTCTTACTGTCCAAAGAAAGACTCATTCAGCCGATTTCTACATAAATATAATAAATTAATTCAAATAAATTTTACTTATTAAACAATAGAAAAATATGACATCACATTAGATCTTTATTTGAGGCATCTGAGACAGTGTACCTCAATTTTTTTTTCCTGGAAACAGGCACATTAATCATGTATGCAGATAGGTGTCAGTGAGAGGCATATACATGCCTACTCTGTATTTTTAAATTAAGAGAAAATACTTCTAAGACAGGTTTATAGTGTTGAGCTATGGATTCTCAATAAATATTTCCATTTTTATATACATTTTGATCTTGCTTTTGGACCTGATTTAAGCAATATGGCTAACGGTTCTTTTGATCTTAATGTGACAAAATTATGACATTTGTAGGGTTAGAAATTGGATGGAAGAGGAATAATTTTGGAAAACAAAGTTGAGTATGCTTTCATCAGCATCATTGTATCTACCTGAAAGATTTTCTTTGCTGAAAATTAACTTTTAAAATAGAAAGAGTTTCTGTAAATATGATACTGGAGGCAGATGAGTTTTTTCTATTTAAGCTTCCTTTTGGGGGTCATCTTCAATTTGCAATTTTGGATAAATTGGGGTGACTTTTAAATCTTTTTATACAACAATATCTCAAAGGTAAGCATTCAGTTGGTTCATGATTTGGTAAATAAAAAAATAAGAAACCATGAGTGATTATTTTCTTCAGCTTTTGTTATGTTTTTGTTTTTATTAGATCGTACCTAATCATTTTGAAATTGTTTTTTCCTTCTTAAACCAGTTCCAGCTGCAGATGTTTGATATTGTTTGTACTACTTCATGGGCCAATAGAGATAAATGCTGTGAACTTCCAGCATTGGTAAGATGTTACCCATTAAAAATACTTATTCAGTTATTTGCAATTCAATTATAACTATGTCTGGAAAGATCTGCGAAAGATGAACATTCAGGTAGTCCTTAACTTACGACCACAATAGGGATTGGAAAATTCATTGTTAAATGGTTTGGTCATTAAGCGAGGCATCACATGACCGCACCTGATTTTACATTTTTTGTAGTGGTCATTAAGCAAATCACAGTGGTTGTTAAGTGAATCACACAGTTGTTAAGTGAATCATGTAGTTCCCCATTGGTTTTGCTTGTCAGAAACCAACTGGGAAGGTCACAAATGGAGATCACGTGACTCCAGGATGCTGCAACCATCGTAAATACATGCCGGTTGCCAAGCACCCAAATTATGATCATGTGGCTGTGGGGACACTGTGACTGTTGTATGTACGAGGACCAGTCATAAGTCACTTTTTTCAGTGCCATTGGAACTTTGAATGGTTGCTAATCAAATGGTTGTAAGTAAAGGACTACCTGTATAACCAGGATCCAGAGTATCCTAATTTGGAATACACTGAAGATGACACAAACTTTTTTGTTGTTGTTGTTAGAGAGATGAAGAAAGCTGCCCTACCCTTCCACATTCTTGCTCCTGCTCTGAAGTCAGCAAAGGATCTCCTGGGCCACCAGGACCACCTGTAAGATTTTACTTTATTGGTCTTTCACCAGTGTCCCATTTCAAATACTGCCAGGTGGCCAAATATCTAATTTTATTAGATAGATTGAGAACATAGCCTGGTGATGCAAACTGCCAAAATCTCTTGTTCAGGGCTGAGAGTTTAATACAATGAATTGAAATAAGGACTACCTATTGCTCTGAAGTAGAGTTTGTATTGAAAAGCAATTATAGTCTCTACTAGCTTGAGTTATAGCCTCTGTAAATCTGGAAAGCACTGAGTCAGAGGGGATGTGGCATTTGTGTGCCTCACATACAAGGTTTCCAGTTTCTAGATGATGCTCTGAAATATCAATAAATATACATAAGGCTTATTTGCTTTTGTTCTGTTACTTAGAGTGTTGGGGACTTTCCAGAAGTTTGTTTCCTACTGCTGGTAATCAAAACTTTCAGCTGTTCCATCTTTTTCTCCTTGTTTGATATTTTGTTGAAACTAAAAAAAAAAAAAAAAAAAGTGAAGAAGTGGTAGAATAAACATGGTACATTATTGGACCATCAGTCAAACCAGTGAATCAGACATTGGGTAGGGCCTTTGTCCCATAAAGACCATGTCTGGAAACATCCATGGCATTTCTCTCTTCCCCAATCTAATACCTTCAAAATATGTTGGATTTGCACTTCTTCTGAACCACTTTTAAAGCATGCACAGCCCTACTAAGCCCCCCAGTGATAAGACAGAACTCACACTTACCCAAGTGTGACTTGGCCTGGGGAGCTGGCTGGTTTCCAGAGTTAAGAAAAGCATGAAAATGAGTCAAAAATGACATCTTTATAGAAAATTCCCAATTGGCTTTGTGAAGGCTGAATTTCAGTTGTGTTTTCCTTAAGAGAAATGGGCACATTTAATGATGGGGGAGGGTTGTGGGTGGAATAGTGAAATATGAATTGCTATATTCATTGTGAGGAGGAGATGATGGATGGTGATGATGATGATGGTGATGATGATGATGATGATGATGATGATGATGATGATGATGATTCTCTCTGTATTGGTGAATTATGCTACCAGGTTTGGAACCAAAACAGGGCTACTGTGAAACAAGAGCAGCCTTGAGAGAACGAGTCATTCTCAGTAGTACTGAATGTGCCTGTTGGAAAAGAAACTGAGATATGTTAAAGGATGGCTCTTTGGCTAAAACTCTGAATAAGAACTTTCTTGAGTAGGACATAAAAACACAATGCAACATTGAACAACAGGACCTACTTGATTTCTTTTAATCTAAATGTGTTTGACAGGGTGGTCCAGGTCTCCGGGGTCCCAAAGGTAGCCGTGGTGAAGATGGTCCAAAGGTAACTTGTTAATGCAGCTTCCTTCTGCATGATGTTCCATAAATATCCCAGCCCCAGCCCACATAATGCTTTTATTGTCTATGTAGAATGTGACCTAAGTGCTATTTGTTTTGTTATCTTTTCCCAATATTTATTATTGGGAGAAAAACAGTTTGGGGGAAAAAAGAGAAAATTTTGCTAAAAGGTGCAAGGATTTCTATAGAACAGGTAGAATTCAGGGCACCTTCTATTATTCCTAATTCAGCTCTATTATTTCTATGTTTGATTTAGAGCTTTGCAAATAAGTTTCTTTCTTAAACTTTCTCCATCGTGTTAATTCACACTGCTACAAACATGTACTCAGCATCAAAGTGGTGAAAAGTTTCAGGAGTGCCAATGTTTTTGTGAGGGATTGTTTTTATATAATTCCTACAGCCCAGCTACATATCTATCCATAAATACACAAGGACACGTGTACAAGACTTGGAATCTCCAGTAGATTGCACCACCAAAAATGTCTGAAACAATGCAATTTTGGCAAATACTCCCCACCCCATACATCATACACACACATAGGATAATAAGGCTGGGAATGGGATCATAAAGTTTCTGACAGATGAAATGCTCCGATTCCCACTCTTATATCACCCCAAAGTCTCAGCTTCACTGGCCCAGCAATAATAAAAAAAGACTGAAGTTGAGTTAACAAATAATATACTGAGTTGTGTCTGCTGACCCAGAAAGGTTCCCCATATCTTATTTTCAGCATTTGAACACTGGTAGTTTGCTCTTCTCCTCAGGCTTCTAGGGAAACTCAGATACCATATGATATAAACCCTGGCTTTTGCCAGTTTCTCAGATCTTCCAGTCAAGTCACATGCAAGACAGAGCATGTTGAAATTGAGAACAGGACAAGGGCCAGTGAGTTGAAACTAAAAGAAAGGAAATTCTAGCTGAATAGTGGAAGAACTTCCTAATGGGAAGATCTGTTAAACCATAACCAGTCTGCTTAGAAAAATGATGGGCTTGCTGGAGATTTTCAAATGAGGATTAGATAACCACCTGTTGGGTAGATTTGTTGAGTTCTATACTGGTCACTGGCTTAGTCTGGCTGACCTATGAGGTCCCTTCCAGTTCATATGTTCTGTAATTCAAACTCTCAGGATATGCCTAGCAAGACAAAATATCAATATCTTCCTAAGCTTATTGAATATCACTATAATTATCACCTGCTCCTCTGTCAGCTCTTAACAGTGGTTGTCTGAACAAATGCTTGCTGACAGCTGTATTCATAAAAATCTTTAACTTTCCAAAATTACAAAGTAGGAAGTTCCTTAAGAGACTGCTCAGATTAGCCCAACATCTATAACAGTACATTAAGCTGAGTCACATCTTAAGGTGCCTGATAAAATGTGTCTTGACTGTTTTGGGCCTGGTCGATCTTTGAGACAACCTAGCAGTTACTCTCAAGCCATTTTCTCTGCAGTGGCAGCTCATTCTGGATCAGCTCTCTCCCCTAAAATCTCTGAGAGGCCTATTATTATATTTTATTTTTATATTTAAAGAATTGAATGGCTCTCTACCTTACATAGTGATCCTAGTTGGCTCAGGACAAGCAATAAATACAGAACAAACTCTTCCCACTGCCTACATCTGTATTAAAATCCCCTCTTTTCACCCAAACCCTTCCCCGTACGAACGGTGAATAATTGCTTTTCTTTTCTTTCCCTCCCAACTTTTTTTAATGAACATGTTTTATAGGTTTTTCATTATTTTAATATTGCATTTTGTAAATTCCTCTGAGATGCACTCACATAGAAAGCAGTTAAGTAAATATGTTAAATAAATAAGTAAAGGGTAGACTGCTACATTTTTAGCATGGGACTTTGTGATTATGTTTTTGGTTCTAGGGACCAGATGGACCTCGAGGTGGAATTGGTGCTCCAGGTCCTCAAGGGCCTCCTGGACCTCAGGGGCCAAGCGGACTTTCTATTGAAGGACCTCCAGTAGGTTTATTATTATGCAAATACTTATTCTGGGCAGCCAATAACCAGCCCCTGAATTTTAGTTGCTGAGGAATATGAGCAGAAGGGTGTGAGCGCTCCCATGTCTTGCTTCTGGTGGCCGTTGTTCGATTCCTATGAGAATTAGGAAGTTGAGCTAGACAGATCTTTAATCTGATCCAGCAAGGGTCTTCTTGTTTCATGTGGTTTTAGCTACTGCAATGACAGCCTAGGGGATTTTATGAAAAACTTGATCTAGAAAAAGTAGTATTTGAAGGGTAAGAAAAATACTTTATGTTTCATGATACCCTTCCTCCCCTGGCTATTTTTTTGTATAATTTTAGGGTTGTAGCAGCAGATTGCTTTCTTCTCCCCTTCCCTCTAGACTGGATATGGAGACACAGATATGGGAAGGTGGAGGCAGAGGGGAGCTAGAGAGAACCCGGTGTGTAGTTAAAAGTCTGCTTGTGTAATGTTGGATGTCTGTCTATAGTCTGCCCAACAATAGTGGATCTAAACAAGCTGAAATTAAAGAAGAATCAGATGCCTTGACTTGTGGATTTAATTAAGGGCTATCCCACCCTTTCTTCCATAGTTCAAATCTTTATTACCATAATTCAGTCTTATAAAGCAATTTTGGAATTCCTTTTTTCCCCCCTTCTCCAGAAAGAAATTGGCAATTAACCATTTTGTTTGGATGAGAAAAAGGGGGACAGTGAAACAAACAATAAAGAGTGTTTGTTTGTTTTCAGGGACCAACTGGAGAAAAAGGAGAAAGGGGAGAAACTGGTCGTCCAGGCCTTCAGGTAACCATTGTGCTATGCGAGTCTAGAATGGAGTTACTCCACATTACTCAACTATTAGATACTTCAGAGCTGTATTGTTAACTATTATTATTGTTGGTCACATAGTCAGCCAGATGTTTAGACTGGATTTGGTATTTTTATTCACCTATCAAGTCCTTCCCAAGGACCTGGTACAGGCAGATGTTGTTGTTATTATTATTACAATCCTTCACTAATGGAGGAATTAAATATAGTTTTACTGTGGATTTTGCTCCTGCGCTCCTGTCAGATACGGTGATAACCACCAATTGGAAACTGGAGAACAGCAGGGAGAACTGGACTCTAAGCTCTTAGTCTTGATGGCATTATTCTCTCACGTGAATCAGGGCTGTATAACTTAGTTCCAAATGAGGAACAAAAGGAGAGTGGGGCTTGTCACCCTCCTGTCCATATTTGTGAGTTTTCTGAGTGCGTTTTTGGTCATGGGTAGCACTATTACTGTAAGTACTTCACTCTAGTGCTTTCTTGCATTCAATGTGCAGGAAGTGTGCCACCATTTGCTTAAGGAACTACCTGAGAGCATGATGTCTTCCATTAGATAGCACAACCTGTCAGATTCAAGTAGACTAAAGGATGGGTCCTCTAATGCCAGCATCTCCTCCGTCCTCCAGGTCAACTTGCTTGTCCTGGGGATCTTCCACCCTTTGCCTGTGACAGATCCTCAGTGCTGCAAGAAGGGAGTTTTGGAGCTAGAAGTGCAGGATTTATCTGAGCTCCCAACCTAGCAGGTGCCAGGCAAGGGTCGTACCTCCACACTTGTAAAAGCATGGAGAATGTGCTCCCAAGTTTTATATCCAGGACCCAGCTAGTCCTGTGCTGCTGGGGGCAGATAACAAAGGAGCCATCACATTGTGTCTGCTCAAAGTAATTGCATGTAATGTTACCTGCACAATTCTTGGATGAGGACATTGATAATGCCCGCCCCATTCACACCTGAGTTGTCCCTACAAGTTGCAGGCTGAGTGAAATATTCGATTCAGACATTTGATTCAAAGATAATTGGTTTGACTCTCCATCAGATCATCTATTTGAAGCTTTGTGGAGCACTAACGTTTACAACTGGACAGTGTAACTCCATTAATCAATCTATATTTAGATTTATATGTTCTTTTTATAAATATGGATAAGTAGATTTGCATTATTATTGTTGCTGTTATTAGCATAAATTTGGGTTGAAATGTATAATTTGGCTCTCTTTTGGGTGTTACTCAGGGTGTTCCAGGACCAACCGGATCACCGGGACGAGATGGAAGCCAAGGGCAAAGGGTAAAATGGAAGAATTGATAGTAACCATCCACCTACTTCACCTTGCTCTGTTCCTCCAAGGCTTAATTTTGCATACTATGAACTGTTCTTACTAGGATGAGTTTACATTACCTGCTTCACTGCTAAACCCAGATGAACAAAACACAGTTCCTGTCTTAATTTCATATAGACCCAAAGAAAGAAACCATGTTATCATTTGGAATGACAGCATTCAGGCAACTTCTTAATGGTTGGATTCTCACAACCTGTTGAATTCCAAACAACCCAGCTCCATTTTAGCTTAATCTAGCATGTTGTACATATCCAGGCCTAGTGCCATTTTATTCTTTCCTACCTGCAGAGAATTCTGATTTAGTTCTGAGATGCTTCTCAATGAATCTCAGAGAGGGAAGTACATGGGATTGGCTGACGGATGTCTTTCTTCTTAGCCTCCGCCTGCAGATTCAATATTTCTTATGTCTCCTTAAGGGGACCTGCAAGAACTGCCACAAATGTCAACTCAATTCCCCAATTTTATTCAAGAGATTTGCTACGAAAGGCTAATTTTGGATGAGATTACTAAATTGGAATGCAGTCATTCTTTCACAGAAGGTTTTTTATTCTGTTATGTCTGAGATGGATGTCCTTTCCAGATGTGTGGAATATAGAGATTGGAATAAAAGGATTATCATCTCTTCCTCCTCCTGAAGCAGATTCCCAATGTTTTCCCTCCTACTAGGGAAAATATTTTAAAGTGAATTCCTGCCTTCCTTTCTCTACACCACCTGGTGCTCCCTGAAGCAAATCACTCCACCCTGCTACCCAGCACTGATGGCCTGTTTATGTCAGTTCAAGTTATTGTCGTTGGGGTCTTGTTCACACTTAGCAGGGAACAAATACTATTATCAAACCAAATGGAGCTTTTATCTGTAAAGACATGAATAGAACTGCACTATAAATATTTACTCAGAAGCAAGTCTCGCTTTGGTCTAAATATATAACAGTATTCTTCAACTTTATGTTGTCCAGATGTCTCGGAGTATAATTTTAGAAATGCCAGCCAGTGTGCAAATGCATGTGATGTACACCACGTTCTCTCAATGAGTTTTATGGTTCCTTGGGTTTTACTGTTAGATTTTTTAAACTTTCTTGGGAAGGAATTTGTGAAGGGCCAGATGAATCAGGAACTCAGATTGAGGCTGGGTCTTTGAGAGATGTCTGAGAGTCTAAAAATGTCCGGCTTAATACTTCAACCTTTTTTACCGTCTTTGGGAATAGCTGTTGTTAAGAGTCTGGTTGAAGATACGGTAGTTGGTAGCAGAGTTCAGTAATTCCTGCTCTGAGAATAAACTGTGGATGGAATGATTACTATGAAGAAATGGGTAGTAGATGAGAGAGGCTGGAAGGAGAATGTTGAAAGTAAGAGGAAGATCATTTCCACAGACTTTTCTACCATATCACAGTCTTTCCCCCCCTTTTATTGTAATGTTATAAATCTTGATTTTTGTTGTTGTTGTTGTTCAGTCGTTAAGTCGTGTCTGACTCTTCATGACCTCATGAACCATATCACGCCAGGCCTTCCTGTCCTTCACTGCCTCCCTGAGTTTGCTCAGTACAGTTCAAAGGCACCAATTCTTTGGCACTCAGCCTTCTTTATGGTCCAGCTCTCACAGCCATACATTACTACTGGAAAAACCATGGCTTTGACTATACGGATCTTTGTCGGCAAGGTGACGTCTCTGCTTTTTAATATGCTATGTAGGTTTGCCATAGCTTTCCTCCCAAGGAGCAAGCGTCTTTTAATTTCATGGCTGCAGTCTCCGTCTGCGGTGATCTTGGAGCCCAAATAAATGAAGTCTGTTACTGCTTCCATTTCTACCCCTTCCAATGCAGATTTCAATGCAATAGTATTTATATAATATGATTATAAATTATGAACATTCGATTATTTAGAAAGCTTGCAATACTGAAAATAAGAAGAAGCTAGTAACAATTCTATCAATATTAATAGCATTTTAGGATGTCAACATTGCAAGCATAAAAATATTTAACTTTTCATCCAAAATTGAGTATAACATGAAAAAAGAACCGCGGCATATCATATTAAAGTAGTAGTTATGTGACAATAGTTTTGGTCTGAAACTAATTAACAGAAGTTAAAATACCTAAAAAATATTTTAACTTATAATAGCACTGTTTGACTAATAGAAGTGGCAATGGGAATATATATAGAAGCACAAACTAGAGCTGTGCAAAACCTATGAAGAAAATGCTTCTCAAGCAGGAAATACCCCTCTTCAAGACAATAAAGCAAATGTGGCTTTCTCCTGCCTTGCGCAACTGTTCTCAGACATCTTTGTGGATATCACTTCCTTTCAAGGATGGGAGGGAGGGGGAATAAAAGTATTCACAACTTGGATTGTCCATGGCAATTAATTGCCTGTAATTTTCCCTCTCCATGCCTTAGTCTGTCACTGGGTCTTTGTGTGTAAGGCCAAAAAGGATAAACAACAGAAAAATAGGAGAGTCTGCTGCTAACTTTCCATCTTCTAATTGTAAGTTAATTTAACCTTCCTTCCTTCCTTCCTTCCTTCCTCTCTGCCGTCCCCTTCTCCTTTTG